CAAAGTGTGTTTTTATTTATAATTTAATATTGAGTGACAACTTACAACCACAGGTTTTGTACTATGTAGTCCTACACATACGTTTACTCACCCTGCTGCACACCAGCTATTCAACAGCTTCTAGGGATTTGCATAAATTTAGCTGTATTCCTTTCTATCCGTAATAGCCTGTTTTCATTTGAATTATAAACAGATAGAACGGTGACCATTTTTCTTGTTTGTTTTACCAAAAAAACCCTCAGTAAATCAGTAAGTTTATTTCATGTTTGTGAAAACAGAATTGCACTGGGTCATTTGTGTATAATTGGGACAGAAGCACGAGCCAAGTCTGGTGGTTAATGCTAGTAGCTTGTTTTTATTAACATCCATTTAAATGTAAATCTTATGTGCAGAGCCAAGGCATTGGACTGGCATGGCAGATCACTTGTTAAGGGTGTGGTTCTCCAGTAAAACATCACTAGCTATTCAAAGTGTGTCTGCGCTTCAGAAAAGATAGGACATGAATTGAATGTCAAACAAAGAGCTCACTGAGTCGCACAATGTAGATGCTTAGTGGTAGATTATATAATGACGCCCCAAAAGATGTTGAGTCCATTGCTCCAGAAGACTAACATAGTGAACCTGATATAGCATTGACTCATGCTGACATTCACTCTAAACAGACCTTGTGTGCACAGCTACAGTCACTAGTTGTCGTTTACTGAAAAAAGTGAAAAACATTTCTGATTTATCTCATCCAGTCATGCTAATGTGAAGATTCAGGCAAGCTTTGTTGCTATGGTTGTGTGTGTGTATGTGTAAAAATGGTGAATGGTAAATGGTCTGTATTTATATAGCGCTTTTCTAGGCCTGATCACCGCTCAGTACAGTTTTACATTCACCCATTCACACACATTCATGCAGTGCATCTATGTGCAGCACTTTTCTCTATGGTAATTTGGGGTTCAGTATCTTGCCCAAGGACACGTCGGCATGTGGACTAGGCTAGAATAGCTATAGAATAATTATAGAGAACAAAATGAAAAATAAATAAAGAATATATCTAAGATTATAATCGAGAATCTATCAGAATACATCAGAGTCTATATTCAGCCAAATAGGATCACAATCCGATGCAGAAGTCTGACAAACAGGAGTTCGCTACTTCAGATATTTATGATATTCTAGTCAAACAACTATCATCAGATAGAGGAAACACTTTGAACAAGCTTCCATTAGTGCAATCAGTACTGGACCAAAGCCAGTTCTGTTGGTTGCATCTGCATTTGTTTCTTACAAGGTCAAGGAAAGTTCATGGAGTTGAAAAACATTACAAAGTATCACAGACAGTTAAAATTCCTGCAGAATTAAGAGGAAAATCTATCTAGAGTGATGTTAAAGTTGCATTGAATTCTGATAAAGGTCAAAATGAGGTTGCATTTAAAAAAAACAACTGACCTGTATCTGATTTGGAACCATGTTTGGCATTTTGCAGAGTGCATAGCCATCGTGTGTCACAGAGGTGATCTACTGGACCGAATCCAAACCTTTTTTGTATTAGTACCATTTGTTTACACACCCAAAATTAAGGGCCTAGTTTGAATAATACTTAATTCTGTACACAGAAATGTTGTTACATTTGTACCATAGGTCACAATTTTCTTTCACTCAGCACATGCATTATGTATACTGAAATATTGCTGGGTTAGTGACCATGTTCACTACTATGAATATTATAGGATATATTAATTCTCAGTAAGTATTCAGACATTCAGAAAGTGGTCCAAATCTGATTAGAAAAGCTTAAATTCCATGTGATTTGTACTGTTCATACCGTCATTAAACAATCAGATCTGGGTCACGTGGGGGGTGGGGAGGTGGGGGGATCAGATTTGAGCCACTTGGGCTGTGTGGTTGTAGTGTAAGTTACAGGAATACACCACAACTTAGTTGTTGGAAAGTCAATTTGCATACACTGTGAGAGGATTGGTTTTATTTGGTTGAGACTGAGACAAATGGAGATGACATATTGTATAATTGATGCCGCACTGATTCAGGTAAAACTGGTAGCAAATGTAATGATTGTGTCTCTGTAGAATTGAAGAGCACCTGATCATGTAACATCCATTTTTCCATAGATATCCAGGAGTTCTATGAAGTGACGCTGCTAAACACACAGAAGAGTTGTGAGCAAAAGCTTGAGGAGGTCAACCACATGGCTGACAAGTGGGAGAAGAGTGTTTCCGTACAGAACTCTGATGTTGCACACTCGGCCTGTCCAATGGAGGAGGTGAGTCTGATGTCAGCCCAGCAATACCTCAGACATACCTAGACTGCAGTGTCATCTCTATATCATTAGAGCCATCGAAAAGGCCTCAACAAAAGCAAGCCATGAATCAGGAAAACAGCAAAGATCAATTCACATGTCAAAAGTCTTAAGCGTAATGAATCGCTCCATAAAATCACAGTAAGATCAAAGCACATAAGAACAGAAATTCAAACAATAGCTTGAGATAAGATGAACAATTACCATTCACTCTGTTAAAAAAAAAAGAGTTCCACACACATCCCATTTCCTCAATATTGGGAAAGAAAAGGTTTAGATCGGTTCTTACATATGGAGACCCTGCACTGCTTTCCACAAGTCAGTCACATACTCAGAGTTCAGTGGTGGTTGGTCTCAATTGTCTTCATATTTAAGCCATTTTTCAGACCAGTCAATTTTCAAAGGAAATGGAGACACTGATGGTCTCTCACTGTCACCTACAACATGATCACAGCAAATTAAAGTTGCTGTGTAAACCTGTGACGAGCAACATTAGCAGCTGATCCCAATTGATCAGGGATACAACACATTTTTATTCTACATTGATGCTATTCACAGCGGTCCATTGTACACAAATCTGATCACAACCATTCCTGGAACCTTGTCTATCTTGGCTCTTATATTAAGGTGTTTGTTAACAAACTAATGCTCACAGTGTCAACTAGAAGCACAGCACAAGTTGAAAAGCTTGAGGAGATTAAATCATTTGTATTCAGAGCAAACAAAAGGGTTGAACTGATGCATCCTTGCCTGTCTGAAACTAGTGACACTAGAAAGATGAAAGTAGAAAAAAGATGAAAGAAATAAAGATTTGAGAGCTTAAACCTTTAACCAGTAAGTTAACATGTTTATGGATTAATGTTGTTGCTTGCTCCTATACCAGCTTCGTGCAGCAAAGTGCTTTAAAGCCTCCATGTTGTTCCTGGGAGCATTTGTTTCAAAAGGCTCAGTTGTAGTTGAGAAGCAATAATCTGCTACTGTCAGGGCAGGACCTGAAGAACAAACAGTCTCATCTTTTTTTTGTTAATGAGAAAGTCACTCAATGAACACATTGAACAAAAGTTTTTTATTAAGCAACACTGAAGTCACGATTAAGGATTTAATTTACATATATACTGTTTATATATATATATATATATATATATATATATCTTCCAGACAGTGGTTCCATGATATCTGCCTCACTCAACATCCACTTACTTTTCTTACTGGGCCTCGGCCATTGGCCCATTGCTTATGTCCACCTTCTGTCTTAATCAAAGTAGAACTCAAAAGGTAATAATAATAGATCTTTGTGCTATGTGATTGATTGGGATATCCTGATTTAGTGGGCAATATAGAAAAAAATCACTTATCACTTATTTTTCAGTCGATATCGATATATACATTGCAAAGTCAAATAACTAACTTAACTATAACTTTTGATGTTTATGTACACATGTTCTTCTTATGCACAAACGTTTTTTCTTATGCACAAATATATTTTTACTTGCTTGTAAAATCATCCTGTGCCACTGCACTTAACTTATAAATTTTTATACAAGCCACTACAATGAAAACGTTTATATAATGTACATACTCAGCATTATTTAAATTGAACTTTTATTTTTATTCTGTTGCCTTTTTATATTTCTTTCTTCTCATGTGCTCCTCATTCTGACGTGCCTGCTGCTGTAACAACTGAATTTTCCTGGTGTGTGGATCTATAAAGTTTTATCTAATCTTATCTTAAATGAATGCTACTGCACTGAGGCACATTACTCTGCAGGTCAACAAGTGACTCTGCTCCTCTGATGGTTTCTACTCATCACAAGCTGATCTTTATCAAAACCTGCTGAATTCATATTTATGTTCCTGGATAAACGGGCGTTGCTTCTTCTGGAACAATGAATTTAAAACACAGCGTTGCATCATAATCTGCAAGAGGAACTTCTCTCTGCAGGTGTGTGTGTGTGACATATATCAATATGTCTTAAATTTCTATTGAGAAAAGGTTATATCACGATACTTATAGATATAGTTTTATCACCCAGACCTATATTTGAGGTTAAAGCACATTCTTTCCCTGCACTGCTTAATATTGAATGGAATTATAACGTTTTTATGTTGAAAAGTCTCTGAATCATGATGTATAACAGGGGTGGGGAACACTGGTCTCTGGGCTGTATGCGGCCCACAATATTATTCAATCATGCCCCCGCGAGAATATTTTTATATATTTAAAAAAACTAAACACACACACGTTTTTGATTCCGTGAAGTGCCACGGTGAACTATCCCTTTAAGGCTGATTCAAGCTTCTGTGTCGAAGCTACGCCATAGGTGCACAAATATCTTATGCATAGGCCGAGCATTCATAGTTGTGCGTTGGTGTGTGTGAGACGTGCTGCGATTTTACCGCTAGTGGCAGTAGAGTTTCTATGCTAGTGTTGATTGTCTGATTTACAAATTCTCTGGTGTCTCTGTTTACTTCTGAAGAATGCCGATTGTTACTAAGCAGATCGTGTTGGAGTTGGAGCTGATAGAAATTGATCATTTTTTTCAAAGGAACTGCAACGAAAAAAAGAAAGACACCGTGCATGTTAGTTTCTTCAAATCAAGAGCGGTGTGCATCGTGTTGATGAGTAGTATAGTTACATTTTTGGGGAGGTGCACGTCAGGGTACCACATAGGGCTTTGCATAGAGTACACGTCTACGTATAGGCTAGGGCATAGCTTTGATGCAGAAGCATGAATTGGGCTTTAGTCTGGGAGCGAGGTGGAGTTTACACACACACTCAGGCCCCGGGTCTGCCCCTTCTATCTCACACAAGGACAGTGAAAACAGAGATAAGAGAGGAGAACTTTAACGTGAACAAGGCAGTAAATGTCGAACAGTGGCAACAAAAAGTACAGGGTTTCCACAACGTCAGCCAATGACAAAATTATTAGTGCTGCTGCTTTATGATTAGAGCAGAAGCAGTGGTTGGTTTGCACTCCTGCTGACCTGAGCTCACTTTACTCTTTAACAACAAACACCAACACCAATCACAAGTCATTAGGACCTGAGCAGAACTGAGGTTTTATTTTGTGTTTGTTTGATTTCCAGAGTTTGTGAGACACCTGTACACACACGCAATAGGAAAAGCTGGAATACTAATCAAGTACATCTCATCCAGTTTACTGAGCTGGTAACATACTGTATATCCTGTGCCAAATGTTTAATATTTGTTCAACAGCAGTTTTTGTTTACAGGGCCAGAGAGTCCTTTTTATCTGTTGCTTAAGTTGGGTGTGGTTTATTTTATGTATG